AAGCCTGGGGACTGAATAGAAAACAACACGGAAAACCCAGATTAGGTGCAGAGATTAAGTCTTCCCTTATGACAAGAATGGAGAGTCAGTCAAAGCCACGCAGGAGTTCCAAGAGCCTGCAGAACATGGTTTTGTTTCGAAAGGAAATGTAGGTTTACAGGAGAGACCACATGACTGATTTAGCAAAAGGCCTTCAAATTTTTGTTTAAATGGACAGGGATACTTTGACTCAGCCCAAGCTTAGCTCTTTTTAACCCTAGCTGGAAGTTCTAATTTGACCATTTTTATAATTTTTTGATCAGTGAATCTAGGAACTGGAAATTTCTGTTGCTTTCTTGCTTGTATATTCGTTAATAACGACACTCTACAAATTATTACAATTTCCCCCTGATTCATGGTTAAAAAACAATGGCATTCCAATGAAGGGGCTCTGACTGACCCCACTCCAATGGAAGTTTAAAAAACATGTATTTATCAAATTGTTGGACAAGGTTCATAAATCTTATTCTTTAAATTTGTTGAACCTTTTAAAAGACACAGTTCTACAACATGGACTTACTTCTTAAACTAGAAGGCAACTACTTCTCCGAGTCTTTAGTTTCTTTATATTAGCATACTTATCGTAAGAAATTCATTTCCTTTCCTACAGGAAGATAGAAATGCAAGTGAGCCAAGAAGGGAAAGACTGACGGATCTCACCTATAGGACAGGTATGAAGTACAGAACTCTGGAGAAAAGAGAGACATCCACCAAACAGTGAGCCTGACACACCAAAGAATTTTGTCGTTTTCAACACTTAATTATGTTTTAGATTTTCCCTTTTAAAAATAAATCCACAGACTGTAAAGAAGTCTATATGAAAACATGAAGCACAGATCAGCCTTCAGCCATTACCAGAATTCCATCTCACACACACTGAGTGAAGTGCCCTTCCACTGCAAGCTCTTTCCAAATCTCATTAGATCTCATTCTGCTTCATTACAGCCATTTCTCAAGGATGCCTATTTATACTTTAATCTGATTATTATGAACATCTAGGAAAGCCCACATAAATTGTCACCACAATTCCTGGCTACCAAAATAACATTAAGTAGATTCTAAATCCAATGGTACAATGACAACAAAAACACAAAACACGGAACATTAAATTCATTCATTGAAATTACTAACTCACTGACATCATCAGATAAGATTTTTCTTACTCATTGTACCTCCCTGGGGAAAAGGAATTTTTTCCCCTTTTGTTTCTTATGGCTGGTTATCGCTGCCTCTGAGTGTCTTTAAGAAGTCAATGCAAGAAAAAGTAGACACAAGCCACAGCCTGGAAGTTGGGACCGGCAGTTCTAGAACCTGGGCTGCTTTCTGTGGGCTTCATAGCAAGTCACATCTCCTGCTTTGTAATCTAAGCAACACGAGGGTTCAACTACATGATTTCCAAAGTTGCCTTCACCTCTGCAATTGAGATTCTGAGAAATCAAATATTTTCACCTTATATCACAACATTTTAAAAAGATGGGATTAATGCGAATGGGAAAAACAATCATATTCTAGAAGAATGAAAGTGCTAGACTGACACTATCTCCTGGCATCTCTTTGATTTGAATATCCCATAAACGAAAATGTTTATTTAAACTTTTATGTTATAAACAACAAAGTCCAATTGTATAGCACGGGGAACTATAGTCAATATCCTGTGATAAACCGTAATGGAAAAGAATATAAAAAAGAGTATGTATCTGAATGTATAACTGAATCACTTTCCTATACAGCAGAAACTAACACAACACTGGAAAATCAACTATATTTCAATTTTAAAAAATACCCTTTATGTTGAACTTAAAAGTTCCCAGTAGCTTTTACTTGGCTGTTAATTACTGATAGGTATTAGTGACAACATTTTGGAGAAGCAGAATGTGAAAAGACTAGTTTGCTTTCACCCGATTTTCAGCTCTCCAAGGCAAGGGAACTGTTTTTACCATTTATGCCTCTTAGCACCTAAACTAGTAGATGCTCAGAGGCATACACTTCTAAATATAACAGATTCACTTCTGGTTTCGTCAGGTGGGTAGATAGAAACAATCTAGACCACAAGAGCCCATGCATTGCAAGTTCTGTCAACTATTTTTATTGTCTTATGATTTTATCTTCTACAAATGTTTTTTCTAACAAAAAGCATCATCTTCTCTCCTCACAATTGCCTAACCTGATTCCTGAGATTATGGTGTCTAAAGAAACCATGGCAACAGTTAAATCTAAGTGATGACTCGGTTTCAAAGAAGAAATGTAGATAAAACTTATTAAAAGGTACTTAAATAAAAGATGAGTGAGACTCGTCTCGCACAAGATGGACACATGAATTGGATACACAATAGTAAAAAAAGATCAGAGATCATAATACCTGGGGAGATTCTGGTTGATTTCACAATATTAAAATGTTAATGGGTAGGAATTGCCTGGAGGTCTAGTGGTTAGGACTTGGTGCTTTCATTGCCAAGGGCTTGGGTTCAATCCCTAGTCAAGGAAATAAGATTCTCTCAAGCTGTGGGTTACAGTCAAAAATTTTTAAAAGTTAATGGATTTAGTAGTTTTTCTTTCAGAGCTCATGTTGTGGAAACACTATACTAGAAAGAACAAAAATATTAATGTTTTCCATTCAGAAAAGTTGCAGTGGAAGACTGGAGTCTTAACCACTGGACCACCAGGGAAAGCCTCAGAAAAGTTTTACATATATTAAATTAAAAATATATTATTTAATATATACTTAATCTTGGTTTAAGTTTTTCTTCAATTTATTCAACATTGAAAAAAATAAAGAAAAGAGAAAAAGAAATATTCAGGTAATTTGCATTGTTGGGGTGTTTCCCTGGTGGCTCAGGCGGTAAAAAATCTGCCTGCAATGCAAGAGATCTGGGTTCGATCCCTAGGTTAGGAAGAGGCCCTGGAGAAGGAAATGGCAACCCACTCCAGTATTCTTGCCTGGAGAATTCCATGATCAGAGGAATCTGGTGGGCTATAGTCCATGGGGTCACAAAGAGTCAGACACAACTGAGCAACTAACACTTAAATTTGCATTGTTGGACTATAAAAGACAGTTTTAAGTTAGGGATAGAATATTCTTTAATTGGAAGGCAGAGCATGAAAGCCAAACCAAATAATAAAGCATCATGACTTTTGATCACTTAGAAAATTACAGTGAATAAATATTACCTAAAAGAAAACTCAAAAATTTCCAAATGTTGAAAATACATACATATCCTGACTTACAGAGTTTGTTCTGCAATGATAAGTTAGTGCATCTAGATAAGATTAAAAACTGGCTGAATTTAGAACTGCAAAGTGAATTTATTAAGTGGCTGCCAGTTAAACTGCCAAATAATAAATTTAATAAGTTTAATAAGCTGCTTGCAGAATCACAAATTTCAACTGAATTTTACATCGAGGCTTACCAGTGGTGGATATATACAAACAGAAGAGTTGATCATCTCAGCATATTTTAAGGTAAGGAAATATAGAAAACTTTTTTTGCAATAAAGTTTAAGTCCTTAGAAATAAATTCTACCACAATAAGAACATCTAGACCACAGAAACACGTTACCAAAAATGTTTCGAAAGCATGATCTTAATTTCTGCATTTTTCTTTCGCTGTCGTGGCAGCCACACTGGTTTATTAATCCAAACTCACAAGCCCTTGCACAGACACAGCGAGGAGCCCCAGACACTTGTCTTACAAAGAAAACGATGGAGGGAGCAGAGAACCAGTATGGCCACCTGACCTGAAGCAAAGCATTCTTAGTTACGACACTTTTCTACAAAAAGGACTTCGAAATTCAAACAGACCACCAAAAAGTTAAGAAGATGTCTGTTCAATGATACACCCTCAAACACAAGCAGGAAACAATTCTGTTTTAAGGGGAAATGCCAATGGGAGGCCACGGTAAACAAATTTCACCCAAAAGAAACTCTGACCAATGAATTATCCCTATCTGTTACATCTTTCCCTAACACACAGAAAAACAACGTGTGTGACTTCTGTGTCAAAGCCAACAGAAAAATGTTTGAATGGACAATTTAAAAACAGTCTTCAGAAAATCTTATCAGTACTTTTTCTGATTTAAAGTCTATGAATGATGACACACAAATATGAATAATGACCACTCAACTGGTGGTTGAAGACAGTCCGAGCTACAGGCCAGGATGTGTCACAAATGGGAGAGTGTGGCAGCCGCATGAGATCACAGCCATCAAGCTCACAGGTGATGTGTCTCGTTCCCAAAGCAGCAGCTCTTTGCCTGGGCGGCGTATCAGGAACTGGGGCCTATTATGGATGACTTTGTAAGGAGAACAGTGTGCACGTAGATTTGGGCATCTTGATTCTGACAGTTGAAGGGAACTGGGCATTTCTTCCCCAAAGTAAAGAAAAAAAAAACCACTTGAGAAAAAAAAAATTATTTTCTATGAATTATTCTCTATGTCAGGTCTCTTTCTGGGCCAAAAATTCCATGTATATTGAATAGCAATGAATCTTTGACCAACAGACTTGTTGGAAGCCAACAGACCGTTACAAACATACCTGACTAGATTATTAAAATTGTTAAGACTAATTTTTTTTTTTAATTGTAAAACTATTTTTAAGTTCTCAAAAATGGAACTGCCCTGGGTGACTACAGCTTTCACTTTGGGGTACCCCGTGCTATCCAGAATCAGGGAAATCAATGTTTCTGGAGGAAGCCATTCTCCTAATTTGCTGTTTAAAAGTGGTCAAGAGCTGCCACATGGTGGGGGCTAATCCTTTAAAGTAATATGCTGTTCAGAACATCAGTTAAAAGCTGTGATTTTAACTGATCAGTTAAAACTGCTACACCGTGTTCTACTGTCCCCAGTGTGGGTGCTCCATGCCCCCCGGCCTCCCCTTGGCGGAGCAGTGGCCAAGGTCACGGATGGGCATGTCCCCGCCATCCCAGGCCCGGTGGGCAGCGGCTCCGCGCCACGCCACCAAAGCCTCAAAGCGCACAGTCGAAGGCCCGGGGCTCGCTCAGCGCTGCGGTCGGAGGTCCTGGGCGCCGCGTCTGGGTGATTTTCTGTTTGGGGTTTTTTGTTTCTTCTTCCTCTTCAGTTTCACTTTCACAGACGTGAACCACCACGCTTGGTGTGGATTCGGTTCCTGCGTGAAGTTCATATTTCTCTCCTGCGGAGGCAAACAGCAAAAAAAGGGTTCTGAACCTTGAAACTTCTTGTTCTACGCATGTTTTCATTACTGATTACTGGCTTTTCAATCTGTAAATTCTATGTCATGGTACTTTATCTTGTTTAGACATTAGAGAATTGATGCTTTTTAAGGTTCTTAAAAAATTTTGGTGTTTTGAGAAATTAGTAGTGAGGAGTAATGAGGTCTTGGGAGTTAAAATGCAAGTGCTAATTACTGTTCTGTGAACAATACAAGTATTCCTGCTTAACTTCATAATGGTTTCTGGGTTCCCCTTGGGAGACATCTGTAAAGTTTCAGACAGCATTGGCAATCTCTTACAGGACCTCAGGGATCCAAGATACAGCTCTCATGTCTAAAAACAACTCTTCAAATGCCTTTTGTATCCCCTAATGTTAATGAAGACACAACATTATTTTAGGTGGACAACTACTATGAACCAACAATGGCACTGATTTATTGTATTATTTTAGAGGAATGAGAGAGAGAAATTAAACAGAAGGAAAAGAAGATGGGAAAAGAAACCCAAGAGAAAAATCTGAAGGGATGATACGGTATCACCACCAATTCCTTGATAAACTGTTCAGTGTAGAAGTTGTCTGTCTGCGATTTTGATGGCAACTAACATGCTCTAATGATCTGTCATGTACTAGAATGTGGAGCAGTAAACTGCAGTTAGACTTACTATTACGTATGTATCACTTAGTTCTCGTGTGTGTGTGTGTGTGTACACGCGTGTGCACTCAGTCGTGTCGAGCTCTGTGACTCTCTGGACTGTATCCCACCTGGCCCCTCTGTCCATGGGATTCTCTAGGCAAGAATACTGGAGTGGGTTGCCATTTCCTTCTCCAGAGGATCTTTCCAATTCGGGGATTGAACCTGCATCTCCTATGTCTCCTGCATTGACAGATTCTTTACCACTGTGCCACCTGGGGAAGCCCTTAGTCCTTAGAACCATGTTGAAGGGTAGCTCCTATAATCCCTATTTTAGATGAGAAAGCAGAGGCTCAGAAAATTGAAGCTAAATAACTTGCTCAAGATCACAGTTAGCAAAGACTAGAAATCTGAACCCAGGTTTGTGTGACCCTATCTTCCATGCTGATCATGTTGCTGTTCATTGGCTAGAACACAAATAGCTGAATGTAGGCTTTAAAACTTGGAGGAAAAAACAGGAGAGAGAGAAGCTTGTTACCTGGTCCCAACTTGGAAACAGCACAGAGTAAATCATAGTTTATAACAGGTGTTGCATCTTCCCCCTGCTTCCAGCCCACCGGAGGTGACGCAGGAGGGGAGATGAGGAACTGTTTGGCAGGTTGGGGTGGCTGTAAATAGGACTTGTCCCGTGTTTCACTGGACATCTGTACCTGCAGGGAGAGAGATGCTCACAATTTATGACCAGGCCATGTTTTCACTTTCATCTTCCCATTAACTATAACATCTCTTTGGAGAAAATGTAAAATTTCTCTTTGACATGCTACATATCTTCCAGTGGCTGGGCCAGAGTCTGTCTGGTTCACCACTGAACACTTAGTGCCCGGCACAGAGCATTAGGTGCCCAATAAACATTCGTCAAATAGAAAGAAAAATCGATGAGTAGATGAATGGACAATGAATCGTACTAAGCACTGAATTCCAGTTTTAGAAGAGATTAGGTTATACTGTCACCATCGACTCCACCAAGACATGTCCAAACATAGGTTTCATTTGTAATGTCAGACAGCAAACCCCATCTTAATTTTTTTTTTTGAAAGCTAGACCAAGGGGGAAAAAATGCTTTGTTAAAAATAAAGCAGTGCTCTTAACAGCTGTTCTAATGCTTTTATTTCACTAATTCTTCCAAGAAGTAATTGGTTTGTCAGAGTCCTATCAATGGAGGATTAGAATAATAAGGATAGCCAATTCTCATTAACTTGCAGGGTCCTCCGCAATTCCAGTCTAGGACAGCCTTTCTGTACATTCTCTATCTGCTCCCTGCTCACCCCTTGGGCTGGGAGCCATTTTCAATAGGGCGCCTCTTAGGAATCACAGCCCATGGAAATGAGTCCAGAGGCTGCTTTTCTCACATCTTCCAAGGATGTCCCATCACAAGTGCCATTCTAGATGACAGGAGAAAAGGCTTAGTTGTTCCCCAGTTGAGAAAAGCTGCCAGAAAAAAATGAAGCCCTCTAACTATTAGGCTAAGCAAAACAAAGTTAGGAGGGCAAATATGCTTAATAAATGTATACATTTATGTATCTGTAAAACAAAGGAAACATATGTTTACACGATTTGCTGATCAGGATTGTTCACTTCAAAGACCTCTGATACGATAATAGAGAATACGGAGAGTGGACAGCATCGTTGGATGGAGGAAAACAAGTTCAGCCCATGCTGCCCTCTGCACTATGAAGTCAGTACCTGTGCAAAGTACAGCTTCAGCTTCCTGCCATTGAAGTCTGTCTCGTGGAGTTCTATCCGAGCCCGTGCCGCCGCCTCAGGCTTGCTGAAATTTATTCGGACTCTTCTAAAGCTTTTGAACAACTGAAACGTAACTTGGTCATCATAGATGGTGAAAAGCGCTTCAAATCTCTCCTACAAAGTGAGGGGCAGCACAGCAGAGAGAATAAGGGCAGGGGGGGAAAAAAAAGGAAAACCTTTACCAAGAGGAAATTTAAATCATTAAACATAAGTAGTGGAGTAGAATTCATTATAATTTGTTTTTTTCCCCAAAGAAGCATTCTCTTCTTGTAGGTACACAAGAACAGGTGTCCTGTTACTCATATGCTAAATTCTGCAGCTTGCAATTATTTTAAAAATAACTTTATTAAATATTATATTATGTAGAGTTCATATTATAAAATAAAATGTAAAGTATTATAAAATGAATGTAAGGTATAAAATGATAAAAACATGCCCAATGATAGAACAAGAATATCACTATCATTTTGAAGTCCTCAGCATGCCAGAGTTTTTAACCTCCATCCTATTCCTTTTAAGATTCAAAGTAATTATTTTCTGGAATTTCATGCTTATCTTTGTTTTTCTTTATAGTTTTACAACATTTATAAGCTCCCCTAAAGATTGAATCATGTTGCATATATTCTTCTATAACTTGCCTTTCTTCCTAAGATGCTTCCTTGTTGCTGAGTGTAACTAACTGTGAGCCACCCTCTTCAGGACTGTATAATATTCCACTGTACAGCTATACCACAATTCCTCTAATGCTGCTGGAATCTGGACTGCCTCCAGTTTTTGCTACTACAATGCTGTTATGAACATTTTTGGTGCCCATATGCGTGGGATTCTCTGGTGTGCACACTACAAGTGGGATCACTGGGCCTTTGTTGTTCAGTCACTAAGTCATGTCCCATCTCTGAGACCCCAGGGACTACAGCACACCAGGCCTCCCTGTCCGTCACTATCTCCCAGAGTTTGCTCAAACTCATGTCCATTGAGTCAGTGATGCCATCCAACCATCTCATCGTCTGTCGCCCCCATCTCCTCCTGCCCTCAATCTTTCACAGCATCAGGGTCTTTTCCAGTGAGTCAGCTCTTCATATCAGGTGGCCAAAGTACTGGAGCTTCCGCTTCAGCATCAGTCCTTCCAGTGAATATTCAGGATTGATTTCCTTTAGGATTGACTGGTTTGATCTCCTTGCCGTCCAAGGGATTCTCAGGAGTCTTCTCCAGGACCACAGTTTGAAAGCATCAATTCTTTTGTGCTCAGCCTTCTTTATGGTCCAACTCTCACATTTGTACATGATTCCTTGAAAAACCATAGCTTTGACTATATGGACCTTTGTCGGTAAAGTTGCGACTTTGCTCTTTAATACACTCTCTAGGTTTGTCATAGCTTTCTTTCCACAGAGCGTCTTTTAAGCAAGCGTCCTGGGCCTCAACACTGACATATCTTTTACTTTAGTAGATGATGCCACATAGTTTTCCAAAGTGTTTGTACCAATTTACTGTCTAAGAGTGAAAGTGTGTTCTGGTTGCTTCATATCTATGCCAAAATTTGATACAGACCTTTAAATTTTTACCAATGCAAAGTAAGAAATATGAAATAGGCTCTAATTTTGGTTATAATTCACGTTTCTTTGAAAAATAAAGACATTGAACCTTTCTTCATGTTTATGGGTCTTCTGGGGTTCCTCTTATCATGATATAGCTTCCCAGGTGGCGCTAGTGGTAAAGAACCTGCCTGCCAATGCAGGAGACAAAAGAGAAGCAGTTAGATTCCTGGGTTGGGAAGATCCTCTGGAAGAGGGTATGGCAACCCACTCCAGTATTTTTGCCTGCAGAATCCATGATACACGTGCTCATATCTTTTGTCCATGTTTCTATTGGGTTGTCTCTTTTAACTGAGGAATGGGAGTTCTATAGGGGTGCTAATTCTTTGTTAAATATAGGTGCCATAAATACTTTTTCCCAATTTTGTTTTGAGAAATACAAGTTTTAAATTTGAACCTTACTAAATGTATCCATTTTCTTCCTTTTGTGTTGTGTCTTGAGAAATCCTTGTATACTCTGAGATCACAATGATGTTCTCCCAGATTGTCTTCTTAAAATTTTATGATTTTACCTTTCATATTTAACTCCATACTGTCCATAAAACTAAAGTGTATGAGATGCCCACCCCACTCCCACCAGTAATCACCATCTTTTTTTCCATCACTCTAGATCAGATCGTATTTTTTTAGTATTTCATATAAATGTACTTTTGGCAGGGGGGGTCCTGGGTTTTTCCCCTGAGCATAATCATTTTGAGAGTCATATTATTGGGTTCTCTTTTATGGTCCTTTTTATTATCAAGTAGAACTCCACTGTAAGGATATTTATGTAAATACCCTGGGTTGTTACTAGTTTTGAACTATTTCAAATAAAGCTGCTATATACATTCATGTACAGGTTTTGGGTAGATATATGATTTTATTTCTTTTGGGTAAATACATGAATCATATGATAGGTATATGATCAACTTTTCAAAAACTACTAAACTGTCTTTCAGAGTTGTTTTATATTCACACCAACAGTGTATAAGAGTTCTAGCAGCTCTGCATCCTCACCAGCACTTGGTATGGTTAGTCTTTTTAATTTCAGCCATTCTACTGGGAGTACAGAATTATCTCACTGTAGTTTTAATTCATATTTCCCTAATGATTCCTGACACTGAGCATCTTTTCAAAGTATATTTGCCATCTCTATAACTTTGTAGGTCAAATCTATTAAAACCTTCCCCAATTTTTAACTTAGGCTACCTTATTAAGTGATAAGAATTCTATTATATATTTTAGATATAAGTCCTTTGTCAAATCTATGTGTTTTAAATATTGTCCTTGCTTTCCTTTTTCATTATGAACAGTATTTTTTTAAAAGCAAATTAAAAAAAAATTTTTTAATGAAGTCCATGTGTTGACTTTAAAAAACTACTTTGTGCTTTTTGTATCAAATGCAGAAATCTCTGCCATACCCAAGGTCACTAGGATTTTCTACTATGTTTTCTTGTAGATGTTTTATAGCTTAGTTTTTACATTTAGATCTAGGATCCACTTCAAGTTAATTTTTGTATGTGAGACAAAAGTCATTGTTCACTTTTTTCTTTCCCCATATGGCTATCTCTTTGTTCCAGCACCCATGGTTGAAATGATTATCCTTCCCTCAGTACACTGAAAACTATTCAACATAGTTGAAAGAAATTAAAGACCCAAATAAGTAGAGACTCACACCACTTTCTCTGTAGGGAATCACCTGTTTGACATTATTGATTTTATGTATATTTACTCTCTATTTCATTAATTTCTACTCTTTGTTCTTTGAGTTTTTCCTTTTTCTACGGCCTTAAGATGGATGCTGAGTCTATAATTTTTCAATTTTCTCCTTTTTAATAGAAACATCTAAGGAATATATATTTCTAAATATTACTTTTTAGCTATTCCCACAAGTTTGAATATATATTACTTTCATTATTATTTGACTCTAAATATTTAGTTTAATTTCCATTATGATTTCTTCCTTGTCTCATGAATTGTTTAGATATTTCTTAAATTCCAAACAGGTGGGAGATTTTGCTTGTTATCTTTTTAACATCTAATTTATTTTCATTATGATCAGAGGTTTTTATCCATAAGAGATATCAATCCAATATTTTTGAGACTTGCTTTTGTTACAATATTTCATCCATTTTCATAAATCTGCTATGTGTGCTTGAAATGTCTTTCTGCAGCTGTTGGATGCTGTACCATAAATATATTCAGTATATTAAGCTTGTGTTCTTTAGAAGAATATAGAATATAGAAATCTATATACTGATTTCTTTTGGAGGGGGTGTCTATTTGAACCACTGATTACCAAGAGATTTCTTAAGACTTCCCACTATTAGGTGGATTTATTTTTCCTTGTAATTTGCTCACTTTTGCTTCATACATTTTAAGGGATATGTCTGCCAATGCAGGAGACTCAGATTTAATCCCTGAGTCAGGAAGACCCCTTGGAGAAGGAAATGGCAACCTGCTCCAGTGTTCTTGCCTGGAAAATCCCATGGACAGAAGAGCCTGGCAGCCTAGAGTCCATAGGGTCACAAAAGAGTCGGATACGATTTAGCGACTAAACAATAAGAAAAACAAAAAACAAGTTTAGAATTGTTTTGTCTTCCTTGTGGACTAAATCTTTGATCATTAGTTAGTAGTCTATTTCTCTAGGAATGTCTTTTGCCTTAAAGTCTGTTTTGTCTGATATTAACACAGCTGCTGTAGCTTTCTGTTGGTCATACAGTTGACTCTTGAACAACAAAGGGGTGAAGGCCACCAACCCTGCCCAGATGGAAGTCTGCATATAACTTTGCAGGGGCCCTTCGTATCCACGGTTCCACACCCATGAATTCACCCAACCACGCAGACTGTGTAGCACTGTAGTTTATTGGGAAAAAATCTGCAAATAAGAGGGCCTGTGCAGGTCAAATCTGTGTTGTTCAAGAGTCAACTGTATATTGCACAGAACTCAATTCCCATCCTTTATTTCTGAACTTTATGTATTCTTTTGTTTTAAATATACCTCCTAAAAATGTGTGTAGATAAATAGCTACTTGATAATCACATCCCTCTTCCTATTTCCTTTCAAAACAATTGTTAAAATCATTCTGGAAATACACCAAAACTGAATGTAACATCCAGATGACAGCAATGAGTTATATGTGTGTGTCTCTCTTCTAAATCCCCATATGTGTGAACTGATGAAGAATTAGTAAAAAAATGAAGCCATGCAGGAGTTGATGAGAAAGTTTTGCTGTTTCTTTCCCTCTCTTTCACATGCATTTCCCCCTTAATGTGGCATAAATACAGCTTATGAACTGTGTGACTTTAAGCTCCGAGGTGAGCAGAAAATACGAAAAATTAACGTAGAAGCAAAACTTTTGCTGTTTCCTATTTGAGGAAAAAGGTAAGCGCCCTTAGCTGGTAGCTCCGCCCCTCACTGTGTCCACAGACAGCACGTGGGTTCCTGGGCTGTCCCTGACATCCTGCAACAGCACAAAAGGGCTTCAGAAGAATGGAGACAGGCGGTGAGGGCTTCATCTATGGACTGAAAGGATGCGGGAC